AATTCCCAGTACCAATAAAAAGATCAAGGCCCAGAGAGGTGAAATTATTTGCCTAAGGAAGTAAGTGATATAGCCAAGTTTTGAACACAATACTGTTTGCATCAAAATATATGCTCTTTCTTATGATAACAATAAAAACTGTTACCAAGCATTGTACCAGGTGCATTATTTATGGTTCACAGAAACTTTATAAGGTACCTATCATTATTATTATTCCAACTGCTAATGAAGAAACAGGCTGACATAAATTGTGTAATTTCACCAAGCTTGCACAGGTGGTAAGAGGGAGAATCATGTGTGTTTGGCTCCAGAAGAGAAGGCATTAACTCTGTGTTATACATCCATATCAGACATCACAGAAACTAGAATCTTAAGTAGACTGTGCAGCTTCCTGCGCTCATACAGCTACTTACCCATCCCACTTAAAAATCTATGAAAATCTCCCTTGCCCTGAACACCCACCTCAGCCTAATCCATGTTGCTATAGTGACATTGGTCAATCATTCAATACAGTGATTAAGCCCATATTTTGTTATAGGATATGCTGGTCATTGAAGAAAACAGAGACAAACTAAATAAGGTCAGTCCCTGCTCTAAAGGGGCTCACAATTTGGTGAGATAAGCACATCAATCATACAAACATAAAAATACAACAGTTAGATATATGTCAATTTCCTGGAAATATAGAATAAAGTAACTTGCATTCACTGAGCTTGAATTATATGGCAGATATTATGCTTGAAACTTTTTTTAAGTTAATATGTGATGAAATTAACTTTTTTGTGTGCATATAGTTCTATACATTTTAATGCATAGTTATATCAACGTAATGGACACAGGAAAACAAAAAAGTATTCCTCATGCTGACCTTCTATTCAGACCTTCCCTATACTCCTAATCCTTAGTAGCAGACCTAATTTCCATCCCTATAGTTTTGCCTTTATCAGAATGTCGTATAAATGCAATCATATAGGACAAAACTATTTGAGACTAGTTTCTTTCACTTGATATAAAATTTTTGAGACTCATCTATGCTGTGTGCACCAACAGTTCAATCCTTTGTATCGCTGAGTAGTTTTCCATAGCGTGTTTATCCATTCACAAAGGAAGGACATATGGACTATATTCAGTTTGGGGAGATTACAAATAAAGCTGTGATAAACATGCATGTATATATTTTAGTGTGAGTATAAATTTTAATTTTATAGGGCTAAATACCTAAAAGTAGAATTGCTGGGACACATAGTAAGTTATGGTTATAAGAAAACATTGATTACACATGGTGGTGTACACCTTGTAATCCCAGCAATTTGGGATGCTGAGGCAGGAGATCACAAGTTCAAGACCAGTCTCAGGAACTTAGCAAGACGCTGTCTCAAAATAAAGTTTTTAAAATGGCTGGGGGTATGGCTCAGTTGCAGAGCACCCCTGGAGTGAATCCCCATTACCATAAACACAAACAAAAAAACACAAAAAATGTCAAACTTTTCCAGAATGACTGTATCATCTTGAAGTCCCATCAGTAAGAGTTCTAGTGGCTCTTTTTCCTCACCCAGCCCTTGGTATTGTCCATTTAAGATTTAGTCATCCTAATAACTATACAGCAGAATCTCATTATGGTTTTAGTTTGCATTTCCCTAATGGCTAGTAATACTGTCACCAATGTATCTCGCTTGTTGAAGTCTTTGTTCAAATCTTTTCCTGTTTTCCTGTTTTTTATTGATTTATTTGTTTTCTATTGTTGAGTATTGATAATTCTTTATTTGTGCTGGGAACTTTTTTTTTTAGTGTGTGGTAGGGGGAGTACTGGAGATAGAATCCATGGGTGCTTTACCACTGACCTAAATCCCTAGCCCTTTCTAAAAAATAAAAAGGGCCTTCATTAAGTTGCTGAGGCTGACCTTAAACTTGCAATTCTCTTTCCGCAGCCTCCAGAGTCACTGGGATTACAGGCACACACCATCTGCCTGGCCAGAAATCTTATTTCTTTAGGACACTATGTAAATATATTTATATTTTATAAAATGCCTGCTGAGTTTACTTTAAATTCCTAGCCTTCAACCAATGACTGACACATAGTAGGTATTCAATAAAAATTTATTTTAGTGGCCAAATAAATGCCTTAATTTTCCATGTGGGTTCCAGAAAAGAAAATAACACTGCTTTCAAAGACTTTGGTCCAGTCAAGAGGGCAGTGTTTTTAGGCAGGCCCCTGTCGGCTCACCTCAGACTATCAGAACAATCTGACAGCCTTATTCCATGGACAAATCCTTTTCCCATGGCAGTGTCCAACCAGAACTCAGAACAGAAGACAGGATATGAATTTCCATACTGCCAGCATGATGGAACCTCCTGCCAGCTTTACAAGAAGGGCACCATCACCAATAGTGCCCTCTTGCTCATCCGAAGGGCCCATAATACACAGCGTCCGCTATCCAGAAGAAAAAAAAAATAGCAACTGAACAGCCAAAGTAGCTGCCCCCTACCAAATGATTATGTATATTTTATAAAATGCCTGCTGAGTTTACTGTAAATCTAATCTTACAGTTCACAGTAGAGTTAATATATCACTTAGCTAATGAGAATAAATCAAAGAAGAGACAGAAGAGGGTGCAGCAGCACACACCTGTAATCCTAGCGACTAGGGAGGCTAAGGCAGGAGAATCACCAGTTTGAAGCAAGGTCTCAGCAACTTAATAAGGCCCTGTATTAAAATAAAAAATAAAAAGGGCTGGGGATATGGCTCAATGGTAAAGTATCCTTGGATTCTATCCCTAGTGCCAATCAGGGGAGGGGGGGTGGAGAGGAGGTGGACTGCAAGAAGCAAGTACAATACATATAGGAATCTAGGTGCTGAGGTAATAGTGTAAGAGCCCCTGAAGACATGTTTTAATTCATATAAAGAAAACTAATGTTCTGGTCACATTAATCCATAAAAAAATGATTTAATTCAAAAATAGCTAAAATTTTAAAAGCTCTAGCACTGAGGTAAATCCTTCAGTTCCTTTTATATTTTCTGAGAAATTTACCAACATCAACCAGCACAACATGGCCAGCACAACAGCGTTTCATCCATGATGCCTCATCAACCATTACCTGACATTCTAAGCCCTAAGTTATCTATCCAACTTTCTAGTTAGATCCTGAATTCCAATACTGTCTCATATGTTTAGACTGAGTTAAGCACCCACATTTTACTTTCTCTCTCAAGGACGTAGCTTGTGATTGATTGTGAAACCCCAGATTTTCAGGAGCCTCTAACCACAAGAGGCCTTAGCCTTGGAGGGAGAACAGGAAAAGGCAAGGCAATACAGAAGCTATGCTGAAAAAGAACAGCTCCTGACTGATGCAGAGAAGAGCAGGGTGACAGCTTTTATGTTATTTTGGAACAGTTTGTGCTGATGAGTTTTTTGTTGTGGTAACATTCCTCTAAAAAGAACATTTTATTCCTTTCCTCATTGACAAAGCAATTCAGCAGAACTGGAAAAAAAAAAAAAAAAAAAAAAAAAAGAGGAGTGGATTACAAAGATATCCAAGAATATGTAGATCTTGGATTACATCACCTTCTTAACTGTTATGCATTCCATTCCCCAGTCAATGCCCTAGGACAGTAATCAGAACATCTGTAAGTCTCCTTCCCTACCAGGAACTTGGCTCTATTCTCAACATAGATCAATGAAATTTTAATCCTTTGAAGGTCAGTTCTAAATACGATAAAAAAAAAAATCAGATACTTTGATCATGATTTTTATCCTTGCTTAATAATCCACATATATCTCAAGTACAGGTACACATATCTCTGCCTGGTTTCCTGGGCCCCACTTTCCAACTCTTTGGTGGTTTTCTACCATAATTTCTCTAACCGAAAAAAACCACCATGTTTCTTACTACCTCTACATCTTTGTTGATACAAAAAAAAAAAAAAAAAATCTGACTTTTTCCTACTTCTTATGTATTTAAAGATAGAAATTACATTACCTCAATCTCCTCTTCTCCAGGCTAAAGTGTCTTCACTAGGCTGTAAATTATATGAGGACAGAATGTGTCTGTCTTATTTATTGTCCCATCTCCATACATAGCACAGTGAAAGGCACATACATAATAGACACAATTGACATTACTGAACTTAAGTTGAATGTTTTTTACTTCATACTTTCTATATTCTTCATCATCATGTTACTCCTCTCTGCCAGTCTTTTACTATTCTAAATCCTTCTGATGATGTGAGATTCAAAATTGAATTCAAAACTCAAAGGTAGACTAAATCTCAGGGAGTTCAGACAGCTTACCTCCTCCCTCATAATGTACATTTTCTCTCTTAAAGATATGGCATAACAGGGTAACTTCACTAGTGCATGAAATCAAGAAACTTTTATTAAATATTTTCATATATAACAACCTTATACTCTGGGCTCTATTGAGTTGGAGCCACAGTAATGCCAAAAGGTGAAACAATAACAGAATTTATTAAATAAATAAAAAGTTACAGAAAACAATAACAAAGTTTATTCCATTTAGAGATTCCTCTAGTTCTTATTATCTGAAACTCTTAACTGGTTCCCAACAATTATAACTTGAAATTTAGAATGATCTTCTAAGATTTATGTCTTCCCAAATATATATAAATTCCCAGATGACAGAATATGACTATTTGGCCTTCTTTTCCACATGCCAACACAAGGCTAAGCACAGATGGCCTTTATGTATATCAGGATTACATTAAGAATCCAGGGAAACTGCAAAGATCAGCCCACCTAGCCAGTGGGCAGGTGGGAACCCACCCAGGTGTAGACACAGATATAAAGCCTGCACTCTGCCAGGCTGGCTCCTGAAGGCTTGTTATGCTGAAAGCCACCTCTCCTGATGAGAATGAATTCCTAGAGGGAAAAAAACAACAACGCAGAGAACATCTCTTCAGAGGGAACATTCTGTCTAGAAAGTTTTCAGGGATATTTTGACACAGGAAGAGAAGAGAGTCATGGCAGGGTGAGAAATCTCACCTCATCACTTTCTTCCACATCCACATCCCCATTGGCATCATCATCCATCAGCTTGTGGATATTGCGGACTGCCTCAAAGCTGAGCTTCTCATCCTCACTGTGACACAGGGGCTTGTCAATCCGGCAGAACTCTGTACAGGAAAAGCAAGAGACAACATTACTCAGAGCTGCCACTCAGCATCTATCACCCACCTTTGTCAGTATCCTTAGCTTCTAGTATCTGACTCCTCACAAAAGTTTATAACCAACCATGTATACAGTGACAGAAGCATATCATCTAGCCTTTTAACTGTCTCCTGGAAAATGTGCTGAGCTTTCTGACACAGGGACGGTGCTTTATCATCCTAACAGCTTCCTGGAAGTTAAGTCTAACATAGGACTATGAGTACACTGGGATCTAGACAAAAACATGAAAAGCTAACTCACAAATTAGAGAAAATACAAATAACCAGTGAACACAAGAAAAAAAAATAGACTCACTAGTAATCAAAGAAATACATATTCCACTGAGATATGATTTTTTAAAAAAGGAAAAAGAAGTTTTATTGCTTTGATAGCAAAGGAGAAACACAGGGGACTCCTGCCCCAGAGACTGTGATTCTGCCCATCAAAGAGAACAGGGGACTTTTTTTTTCCATTGTCATGCTCAGGATTGAAACCAGGACTTTGTGCATGTGAGGCAAGCACTCTACCAACTGAGCTATATCCCCAGCGGAACAGGGGGCTTTTAAAGAGGTGATTCAAAGGTCACATTCCCATCGTGTTCTCTGTCCAGAGTTGTAATTCACTTGTTAGTTTGGGAGACAGTGAGATACCATTTTTAAATCGGTCAAATAAACAAATATAAATTAATACAATCTTTCCAGAAATAGAACAACAGCCAATTAGTCCCCATATATGAATAATGCATACTTTTCCTGTGTGTCATTGCTGTACATAAAATGCCAGCTGCAGGCCAAATAGTAAAATCTCTCATACCTTGTGCCTTCTCATAGATAGTTACATCCAGCAAGTTATCTACTAGATATCTAAAGATCCCAAGCTCATCTGATACAACAGCTTTGGAGGTCTGGAAAGCAGTTTCCTCTGCCTACCACCACATAGCATGCAGCAGTAAAACCAGCATAAGGGCAGAGGCCCCCTAGCTCATTCCATGACACCTCTTATAACTCTGGAAAACGTACCATAACAGAAACACACAGCAAAAAGAGGCTCCAATCTAGACTTAGCTCCACCATGTGACCACAGAGGTCACTTCTCTTCTCTAGGCCTCAAGTTCATTTTTTGAAAAAGGCTTTTAGGCACAAGAAGTAAAATAAAAAATGGAATGGACTCAATCTAAAAAGCTTCTTCTCAGCAAAAGAAACAATAATATGAAGAGAGAGCCTACAGAATGGGAGAAAATGTTTACAACATGCACCTCAGATACAGCACTAATCTCCAGGATATATAAAGAACTCAAAAAACTGACAAATAACCCAATCAATAAATGGACTAAGGAACTGAACAGACTCATCACAGAAGAGAAATACAATTGATCAACAAACATATAAAAAATGTTCATCATATCTAGTGATTAGAGAAATGTAAATCAAAACTACTCAAAAATTTCATCTCACTCCAGTCAGAATGGCAATTATCAAGAACTCAAGCAACAATAAGTGTTGACAAGGACGTTGGGGAAAAGGTTCACTCATACATTGCTAGTGGAACTACAAATTGGGGCAACTACTCTAGAAAGCAGTATGGAGATTCCTCAGAAAACCTGGACTGGAACTGCCATTTGACCCAGTTATCCCACTCTTTGATTTATACCCAAAGGGCTTAAAAATCAGCATACTACAGTGACAAAGCCACATCAATGTTTATAGCAGCACAATTCACAATAGCTAAGATATGGAACCAATCTAGATGCCCTTAAACAGATGAATGGATAAAGAAAATGTGGTATATATACACAATGAAATATTACTCAGTCTTAAAGAATGAAATTATGGCATTTGCAGGTAAATGGATGGAGCTGGAGAGTATCATGTTAAGCAAAATAAGCCAAACCTGAAAAACCAAAGGCCAAATGTTTCTTTGGTAAGTGGATGCTGATCCATAATGAGGGGGAAAGGGGATGAAGGAACTTTGGATTGTGCAGAGGGGAATGAGGGAAGGTGAAAGAACGGGATTGAAATGTACATTATTACCCTATATACATGTATGATTACACTACCAGTGTGAGTGCATCAATGTTCAGCCAGAGGAAGGAGAAATTGTGCTCCATTTGTGTACAATGTGTCAAAATACATTCTATTGTCATGTATAATTAATTAGAACAAATAAAAAATAAAGTAATTGAAATTTTTTTAAAAAAGAAAAAGGTTTTTAGAGACAAAAAGCTGAGTAACAGTAATTAGGACTTTTTTTTGTTTTCATTTTAGAGGTAAAAGAAAAATATGATTCTAATATCAATAGTGAAATTAGATAAACTTGACATTTTATCACTCAAAAAAAGGAAATTCTCCTCTATTATATATAACTATAATACACTAATAAATTTTCAAAAAAAAAAAAGAAATAAAGACTTATTTTTTCTTTTGCAGTACAGGAGTACTCTACCACTGATCTACCACTGAGCTTTTTATTTTTTATTTTCAGATAGGAACTCACTAGGTTGCTGAGGCTGCCCTTGAACTACCTGTCTTAGCCTCCTGAGTTTCAGGTCTGTATCAGGAAACTGGCCTGAAAAAAGGCATTTTGACTCAAGTTTCTAGTATATATCCTCCAATTCCTAGGTGCTAAAATCTGTCTTTCCTTTTGACTTGGATCTTAACTATTACTTCCTAGGCAAAATGTTCTTTATATATCACCCCACAAAAAAATAAAAGAAAGAGCCAGTCTTGGTGGCACACGCCTATAATCCTAGCAACTTGGGAGGCTGAGGCAAGAGGAACCCAAATTCTAGGATCTCACTTAGTGAGACCTTGTCTCAAAATAAAAAATAAAAAGTGCTGGAGATGTCACTGAGTGCTAGAGCATCTCTGGATTCAATCCCCCATACCAAAATCACAGGGAGAGGAAGAAGAAAAAAGACTTTGACTTCCCAGGTAATAGGAATATTGTCAGGAGGAGAAAGCAGGACAGATAAAGATACTAAGCCCATCAAAAGGCACTAAAACACCATGATCCATGTAATTGTTTACTTATCTGTTTGCTAGAGACAGTGAAGATAGAATAGGTCACCTCTCTATCTCTTGCTGGTTGTCCAAATCCTTTTCAAAATAAAGGAGAAGTATAAATATTAAATCTTAAAGAATCACAGATGTGACTCAACTGAAATATGTTGAACAGTGAGGCTCACAGATGTTAAATGATGTGCCCAAAGTCAAAAAACCGCTCAAGAGCCACAGCAAGATCCGAGGTCTGCTGACTCCCATGTCAGCACTTAACCTGACGGCCTTTTTACTACAGCAGTCAGATAGCTTTGGGTTGGTTTCATCTTTTGGAAGCCAGATGATAATGTTGGTAAGAACACAAAATTGTTTTATAAAATTAAAAGAATAAGATAAGCATACAAAAGAAATATCTCTATGTAACCTTAAGTTCTACTTGTCCTGCCAGGTTGGATTGGGGGTGGGATGGAGATTACTGAAGGAGAAAGTAGAATACAGCCAAAGATTGAGGTATTGTTTCTCAACTTCCTCACCCACAAGAATTCCTGGCATCATACTTTCATTCTTGGAACCCATTTCCAGAAAAACTATTTATCAACCCAATAAATTACAAAAAGTATTAACTAACCAGTTCACAGATAAAGCACACTGAGATTAGCATAATCAATATTAACTCTTTCCCTCTCTTGCCCCTATTTTTGTACTATACAAAAGCACATATAATTGCATGTCAGAGATTTTTGGTCAGCATATGATAAAACATTTAAACAACATGTACTGAGCATAATTCATATTTCAGGCCTATGTTGGGCAGCCAGACATAAAGATTATGAATCAGATTTTATCTTTGCTCTCTGGAATTCAATTACTACAGTGGGAAAGACAGGCAATTAAAACACTATGTGCTGAGTGTCACAATAAAAAGAGTCAAGTTAGGGGTCTAGCAAATTCTTTCTATAAAGGACTACACTGTAAACAATTTAGGATTTGTAGGCTATATAGTCTCTGCTGCCAAATTGTAGCACAAAAAGCATCCGCAGACAAACATAAGTGAATGAGATTGTGTTCTAATGAATTTTTTTTTTTTTTTACAAAAATACAGGCCGTGGGCTGGATTTAGCCCATAGGTCATATTTTGTTGGAACCTATAACAGAAGATCATAGGTAACACACTTAAATCATGTTTTGTTGACAACATTCTAACATAAAGGAAAGAAATCCAAACTTTTCATTAGCCTGTATCCATCCATAAGCTACTAACTGCTCTTAGTAGGCTTTTTAAAATAATGGAAATAGTTTACACAGCTCCAAGGACTGGGGGCCTCCAAGTTGGACACCGCTGGCCCAGGGTCAGCCAGTGCCTTTCCCAAAGGTCTATGATAGGTCTAGAAGTATGTGCTTCAAACAGCAGGCTCTAGTTTGTAACCTGATCAGACAGACAGGTGACCTTTGCTGCTGGCATCATCTGGTATGGAAAAGGATTAAAGGGATTGAGGTTGAGAGAGTACAAAAGCTTGATGTCCCATATGGCTGTAGAACCATGACCAGAAAAACTATGTCAGCCAAAATTCACAAATAACTCTTTCAACCAAGCATTTCCTAAGTCATCTCCCTTCCTTCCTGAGACTTTTTCTACTGCTTATATATTCCAGCCCATCAAGATTTCCTTCAGCCATCTGAAAATATCTTAGAAGATCCACTCATTTAGCAATGAATTATTACTTCAAAGAAAGAACCCTGAACTAACAATCAGAACACAGCAAAATCCCACCTTCATTAGTTACATACCATATAATATTGAACAAGTTGTTTAACTTCTTTGAGCCTCCAATTTATCATTAGCAAATTCTGTTGCATGAGTTTTTTGTGAACATTAAGTAAAGCTGAATTTGTTAAAACATGTAGAAGAGGGACTGATGTAAAGCTGACATTCAATCCATTTACAGAATCCTTTCCTCCCAGAGCAGTAA